CTCACTCTAGCCTGGGCAACAAAGCGAGAATCTGTCTCAAAAAAAAAAAAAAAAATAGAAAAATTAGTCAAGCGTTGTGGCACTCGCCTATAGTCCCAGCTACTTGGGAGGCTAAGGCAGGTTAAGGCAGGCTAAGGCAGGCTGAGGCAGGCTGGGGCAAGAGGATCGCTTGAGCCCAGGAGTTTGAGGTTACAGTGAGCTATGATATCACTGCACTCTACCCAGGGTGACAGAGTGAGACTTGGTCTCAAAAAAAAAGTACAAAGTACAGATTCTTCAGGCCTTTCCTTCCCAAAATTGATTTATCACATCTCATGAGGCAAAACTCAGGATTTCACACTTTTAATAAGGTATTCCAGGAGATTCTGAGGCAGGTGTCCTGGAACCACAGTCCCAATGATGGCACTCGTGAACCTGAAACATGGAGCCATGAAAACAGTCAGGGAGTGTCTCTGATGTGGGCCGTCACAAGTGATATGCCCACTCTTTTTACATCCAGCTCTTGTCCATTTCCTTTTTATGTATCACTGAAGCAGGAGAGCAGACTCTCTTGTGCAAGAGCAGCCAACTGTTATCTTCCATGGTTCCGTTTTCCCACTGGAAAATGTGGTCATCACCAGTGAAGTAACATCTGAGTCAAGGTCCACCCACAAAGACCTTGGCCAACTGATAGGGATTTCTTTCTCCTTTTCTGCTCTCAGGATTCTCATTGCCTTTCCCTAGCAGGAATGGCTTATAGTTATCTTTGTTATTGTCATTATTCTTCTTACCAAGGACTGTGGCAACTCGTGGGGAAGGACACCTTTTCTAAGATGAGAATGGGACTCTGAGAACCTTGAACAAGCCAGGTCAGAGGTGCCATAAATGTACTAAGTTAAGATAACAATATGGAAACCAGTTCAGAGGGTAGCTCACAATAAGTTGACTAAGGATTGGTGTCTGAGGGGGTTGGGATGGCTTGCTTTGCTACTACTTTAAAGGGCCTGAGGCAGATGGGATCCTTCAGTAATTAGTCTTTCCTTGCTCTCAGGACACAGACTGGGTGGTGGTGAAGGAGCCAGTCATCAAGGTGGCTGCCATAGACAATGGGCTGGCTTTCCCACTGAAGCATCCTGACTCCTGGAGGGCATGTAAGTCTCAAGACCATTGTGGTTTGCCACTTCCCTTGCTTGTTTTCTCACCGTGCAATGGAAATAATAATACTTCTATCATGGAATTCTTCTAAGAATTAATGAAATAAAGCAGCTCAGGCACATTAACACAATTGGCCAATACATGGCATCTGTTCCATAATGTAAGCTATTATGCTGACTTTTGCCTTGTAATTCCCATTAGAAGCGTAAAGATGATTAGAAATTAGAACTATAAAGATGAGAATGCAAAGTTCCACTTTGCATTCTTCTCATTCTTTCTGCAGACTGTCTTTTCATAATTTACTCTATTTGTGTCTCTATCTTCTTGTTGACCTTTCTTACCCCATTATAACTGAGAAACTTTTGGAAAGGGAGAGAAATACAAGGAGGGATTCACTAGCCTCTTCTGCAGCACTGATCTCCCTTTTCAGAAGGACCATCTCAATGTCTTGGTGGCAAGTTGTTGCTTCTAGATATTCTTGCGTCTTGAAAGGTCATGTGACATCTGGGAAAGAGATCTGGGATTAGGCAGATCTGAGTTTGAATCCCGGTTCCTCTACTTACTAGCTGTGTAACCTTTATGGTTAAGAGCACTTGTAAGTTTTTGTTTCTGTTGTACATCAGGGAAGAGGGGTTTTCCCTTTGAAAGTGTCTTGATGGGTAGAGGACACAGATCGTCAGGGAATTTTCCAATACCAGCTTTGCTTTTGGCCTTTTTTCTTTTCAGATCCTTTTTACTGGGCTTGGTTGCCCCAGGCAAAAGTCCCATTCTCTCAGGAGATCAAAGATCTGATTCTTCCAAAGATATCAGACCCTAACTTCGTCAAGGACTTGGAGGAGGACCTGTATGAACTCTTCAAGGTTAGCCCTGGGAACCTCAGTCTTATTACCATACAGAAGAAGGAATTCCTGATGGTTTTTCTAGTTGGTCCTAACATAAGCCAGGAGAAAATGGCTAATACCCTTCTGACTTGAGTTAGCCTGGGAAGAGCAAGATTTCCATATGTGGGCAGCAGGACCTGGATTGGATGGGTTTGAAAGAAATGGGCAGCTGATTAACTGGGCGTGGCGGTGTGCACCTGTAATCTCAGCTACTCAGGAGGATCAGTTGAGCCCAGGAGTTTAAGACCGGCCTGGGCAATATAGCAGGCCTCCAGCTCCATCAATAGATAGACAGACAGAGAGATAGATGGCAGCTGTGATGGATCACACTGTGTGTGTCCTGTGCGTCATGTGGCTGTGATGTATCCACAGGGCTCTCATTTTCAAATGGAACACTGGAGCCTGCAGTTTGAGACACAGAACAAGATACTTGCTTTCTGTGTCCCCATCTGTAAAACAAGGAATGCTTAGGGGAGGTAGTTGATTTCACCAAGCCTCATAAGCCTTATGTAGGTTTTCTTTATTAGAAAGTTTCTGTCTGGGGGAGAAAACGGGTTCATGTGAGGCATTCACACAGGTCCCATCTCCTTCTGTCCTTTTGCAGAAAGATCCTGGTTTCGACAGGGGCCAATTCCATAAGCAGATTGCTGTCATGCGGGGACAGGTAAGCCTCCAATGTCTTCCTGGTGTCTTTTTGGCATCTCTCTGGAAGGATCACATGCTTAATGTTGAGCAAATGTATACAGCTTGTCTTTTACACCCTTTTCAGTCTGTGTTATACATATTTGTGACTCTGCCCTAATGCCCGGAAGAGGAAAGGTAGCCCTCCCAAATCTCCTACCTCTTCCATGGTATATCCAGTGCTTGGTGAAGCACTTAATATATGCTCATCTCTGTCCCAGCTTCTAGATAATTCATTGGTAAATAAATCAGTGCTTCTTGTCCTCAAATTGCTCAAGGCAGGCTGTATACTTTGGTGGTTAAGATCAGGGCTCTGCAGTCAGACTACACCATTTACAAAGTTTGTGGCTTTGGGCAAGAACCTCTGTTTCCTTGTTTATGAAACAGGATAGTAATAATACTTTGCACAGGTTAGAGGATTGCATGAGATAATGCATATCAAGCATATAGTAAAATGCAATGCCTACACTCAGATATTGATTATGGTTATAATTTTGTTGTTACAAGTTATATTATTTCTTCTCCTTCCATTTTACCTTCAAAGGGAACTAAAGAAACCCAGGGCATTGTCGATCTTCCAAACCACAGTAAAGAATGTGCTTGGAAAATTGTTCTAAACTTTGTAGGGCACTGGCATCATGTTTATCACTTCAAAGTCTTCTTAGAGCTGGGATGGTTTAGTGGTTAAGGACACAAACTGTAGTCAGAGTGCCTAGGTTTGAAGCCTGGCCTGCCATTTACTACCTTTGAGGTCTTGGGCAAATTGCTTCACTTCTCCTTCCCTTTGTTTCCCCATTTGTAACATGGGATTAATAATAATACCTGCCTCATAGGGTTATTGTCAGATAAATGATTTGAAATAGTTGGAGTAGAACCTGGTGTATTGAAGTACTCAATTCATACTGGCCATTATGATTATGATTTCATATACAGAAATGTCAGCTCCTCAGAATTTTAAAGGACAGGAGGATCTTCCCAGCCATAATTATACATTTACTTCTTCTTACCATTTAGCTAAAGGCTTCTGGTGAGAACACCTCTTGGGTTTGCTAAACCCATTTTTCCCTGGAAATGAGATGGACAAAGGTTTTAAGAGCTACAGTTATTATAGCTGTCTGAATACCAATAATGTTGTATTCTTATATTTCCCAAGCAGGAATGTAAGGGCCCAATTAGGCTAGGGGAATTTTTGGAAACCTTAAAAGCCATATGATGTACTCTAGTATTATGGAATTCAGCATAAAGAAATAAACTTGCTTCTCCAGCTTATATAGGCTGTGCCTCTGTCCATATTGCACTGTTTTCTCTAATTCCTTCCCAACTCAGTCCCTTGCTAACACCATAGCAACCCTCCTCCCATTATACCCAGTTAGGGCCAGTATCCAGGGTGGCAGAATGTAAGGGAGATTGGGGGGAGTGCAGTTTTATCTTTCTTTTCCATCTTGTACTCTTCATGTCTTCAGAGAGGCTTTTGGCATCTTATAATCTAGAGCGCCCACCTCCTAACACCTTAAGGTTCCATGAGCATCAGCTCCTACCAGCATGCAGGTGGCCAGTATGTCATTCACTTTCTCGTCTACCATTTATACACCACAGTAAAATGAGCCTCTGCCCTACAGAAATCTTACATAGCCCTGGGAAAAGAGGTCACAAACCTATCTACCTAGTTGAGCTGTAATCACAAAGTGCCCTGAGCTGAAGGGGGAGAGTGAAGAGGCCCCAGAGGGACAGAAAGGTTTTAACCAGAAGTTAGATAAAGAATTTAGCATCTAAGAGAAAGCCTCTTTAAAATAACATTTTCAAAGATGTTATTTATCCTTTGGCATTATGTGCCTACTACAAATTTTTCTTCAACTTTTTAATTTGAAAGTTTTCAAATCTCAGTAAAGTTGAAAGAATGGGATCTTTTCCTAGATTGACCAGTCGTTACATTTAGCCTCATTTCCTTTATCTCATATCTCTATGTATTATCCATCTATCTGAATAAATTCTACCTCTATATATCTATATAATTTCTCTCTCCTAGATGGATTTGTTTTGCCAAATCTTTTGAAAGTAAGTTGTAGACAATTGGATATTTTACCCCAAATAGTCCAGAATGCCTGAGAGAAGGCTTCTAACCCAAAAATCCAAAGGAAGCACAGGGAGACCCAGCCAGAGCAGGTTTAACACATTGACTGCCACACTAGAAAAAAAATTTTTTCCTTGGGGCCATGGTGTTTTACTATGAAAATGGAATAAAAACTTTGAAAACAAAACGCTCCTTTCTAATTCTAATTTAATGAAAAATTTGTTATTTTTTATTGTTTTCTGTGCATGAGTTACAGGGGACCACCCATCACATAACATGTATGCTACAGCATGGCTGCGTGAGTTGGCCTTCTGCCTCAGCCTCCAGAGTAGCTGGGACTACAGGCATGTGCCACCACGCCCAGCTAATTTTTCTTTTTTTTTTTTTTTTTTTTTGGAGACAGAGTCTCACTTTGTTGCCTGGGCTAGAGTGAGTGCCATGGCGTCATCCTAGCTCACAGCAACCTCAAACTCCTGGGCTCAAGCGATCCTTCTGCCTCAGCCTCCCGAGTAGCTGGGACTACAGGCATGTGCCACCATGCCCGGCTAATTTTTTCTATATATTTTTAGTTGTCCGATTCATTTCTTTCTATTTTTGGTAGAGACGGGGTCTCGCTCTTGCTCAGGCTGGTCTCGAACTCCTGAGCTCAAACAATCCGCCCGCCTCGGCCTCCCAGAGTGCTAGGATTACAAGCGTGAACCACCATGCCCGGCCAATTTTTCTGTTTTTTAGTAGAGACGGGGTGTTGCTCTTGCTCAGATTGATCTTGAACTCCTGAGCTCAAGCGATCCTCCCACCTCAGCCTCCCAGAGTGCTAGGATTATAGGCATGAGCCACTATGCCTGGACCCCCTTAAATGATTAACTAATTTAATTTATATCATTTTCATCATTACAAATAATACTGCATCATATTTTTTGAAACTAAAAGTTTTTTTTGTTTTTGTTTTTTTTTTGAGACAGAGTCTTACTGTGTCGCCTGGGCTAGAGTGCCGTGGCGTCATCCTAGCTCACAGCAACCTCAAACTCCTGGGCTCAAGCAATCCTTCTGCCTCAGCCTCCCGAGTAGCTGGGACTACAGGCATGTGCCACCATGCCCGGCTAATTTTTTCTATATATTTTTAGTTGTCCGATTCATTTCTTTCTATTTTTAGTAGAGACAGGATCTCGCTCTTGCTCAGGCTAGTCTCGAACTCCTGAGCTCAAACAATCTGCCCTCCTCCGCCTCCCAGAATGCTAGGATTACAGGTGTGAGCCACCGAGCCCGGCCTGAAACTAAAAGTTTTAAGTTTTAAGATTGTTCCCTTAAAAATAGAATTGCTGAGTCAGAGGGTCTGTTCATTTTTATGCTTTTATTGTCAACTTGCCTATCTAAAAGACTGTCCCATATCCCTGCCCCACAGCCACTGAGGAGAGCACCTGTTTCTTTGAATTCTCTCCCACTCTGAGTTGTCAAACTGGAAGGGCAAAGAATAGGGGGCATTTGTTTTCATTTGTATTTTTAAAATCACTAAAGAGGTTGCCATTTTGTAAATAGCTTATTTATGTGATTTTTCTATTGATGTGGTTTCTTCTAATTGACTTATAGGCACGCTCTGCCTACTGGTCTCCATTTAGAGGCAGACCTGAAATGCCTAGGCCTCTCCTTCACCCATATCCTTTTTCCTACTACAGATCCTAAACCTGACCCAGGCCCTGAAAGACAACAAGAGTCCCCTGCACCTTGTCCAGATGCCACCCGTGATTGTCGAGACGGCCCGTTCCCACCAGCGGTCTGCTAGCGAGTCCTACACACAGAGCTTTCAGAGTCGGAAGCCCTTCTTTTCATGGTGGTAGCCTGAGGCCGGCAAAGGAAATACTGTCTGAGACTGGTGGAAGGAAGCCTGGAGAGTGGGTGCAGGAAAGGCCAGAGAACAGCGCCTTTAGGAGCCCTCCCTCTCTGCTCACCACCCTCTCAGGGCTTTCCCACCCACAGGGAGAAGCACAATCAGGGACAGTGAGTGCTCCTGGGCCCTTCCGAGTGCAGGAGGGAGGGAGAGCATCTCCCTTCCAGCATCTCCTGGTGGCAGGCTGGGAAAGTCCCTTGCCTCCCTGACACCCTGCTCTGTCGCAATTCCCTATTATATTCTGCATCAGAAAAACAAACAAACAAATTTACATGCTTGTAGCAGAACCCCAGGTCCTCTCATGTCAGAAAACTTTCAACCAGGCCGAAATTTGCATGGACTCAGATATTTGGGTGCCTTGCAGTTGCTCACTTCTATGAAGCAAGGCTGTGTCAGAGGGCAGCTGGGTAATCTGCAGTGCTGGGACAGACAGAAGCCACACCTTTTCCTTTGGGTTTTTGCCAAGCCTTCTTTCCCTTCTCCTCCCACCAGTGCTGTAGGCTGGCTACAGGCCTCCAAACACAGTTCTCATGGCAGGGAGGCTTTTGCTCTACACTTCCCAGCGGCTCTGTACACGATTATACAGAACCTCTCTGCTCTCCTGCAGTTTGCCTGTCACTCAAGCAGAGTGCTGGTCTTAGCCTTTATATTTCTATAGGAAGTTGACTCCCAGCCCTTAAAAGTGATCCACATGGCCTAAGTTTATGCCAGGAGCTGTAACTGGTCTATGGGTGAACTTATCCCAGCCTTGCTTCTTGAGTTTCTGGTTCAGTCCTCTAATTTGTTCCTGTTGTTTTAAATATTTTTTTTCCCAGCTCTTTTATCTTAGGATTTCAGTTCAGGTTCTGGAGTGGGTCTCTGTGAGGGTTCTGGGGTGAGTGTTGGCTCATAAGAGGACAGGAGAGTCTTTGGACTTCTTTGTATGCTGCCACTGCTGCTTGGTGGAAGTAACAGGATGTGTATTCTGCCTCCTAATTGGCAGTTTCCCTTTACTCCCTGACTTCTTGTCCCAGGCCGGTTTCTCTATGGCTTCCTGAGAACAGCGGGGCCCAAAGGAGAGAGGCCTTCAAGCTGCCCCCAGTGCCTGCCCAGCTCCGTGTGTATCTTCGTGCTTCCATGTGTCTTTTCCCTCAGCTTCCCCCTTGCCAGGTGTTCAAGCCCTTTCTACACCAAAGCAAAGAATGGCTTCAGGAGGGAGTAAAAAGGGTGCCATCTGTGGCTAAGGGGCAGCCGTGTTCACGCCCTCTGCTACTGGACGCTTCAAGGTTCTGGCACCTTGCGATTGGTCAATCAGCCTTGGAAAGAAACTATCTTGAAGGTTTGAAAAACAACCAAAGAGAGTGAGGATTATGGCTGTGTGTCTTCTGCTTGCCTGGCTCCTGCTGTCCAAGAGGCAGAGCAGAGATGTGCAGCCTTTTGTCAGCTGGCCAGGTTGGTCCCCTTCCAGTCTAGCTGCCAGGAGGCAGCTTGTGCTGGGCTTCCACCCAGCTGATAGGAGGAGTCTCTGAGGGCGGGATGTGCAAGCCTTGTGGGCAAAGGCGCAGCTTCCCTGCCTGCCCCAGTCCTGACAATCCCATCCAGCCGACCTGGACTCTGGCCTCGGGAACCACATTTGAGAGAATAACTGCCTCCTGACCGCAGGAGCCAGCAGGAGCCCCAGGTGTGCGTAGTTCTCCATACACGTCTTTACACAAACCTGTTGGCAAAGCTCCCTACCTGGTGCTCCAGAGAGCCTGAGGAGTCTGTAGAGGAGCCTGGCTGCCTCACTCCACCATGCCAAATCTGCACATTGTCCTGATCCAGACCAGCTCTGTACTCAGAAGGTAAATTGGGTCCAATGGAAGAGGGAGCCGGTCCCTGGCCCAGCGGGTTAGGGTGCGGGGCGTCCTTTCCTGGCCTGTCTCCACTCTCCCCCGAAGCCTGCGCTCAGGTTGCCTTGAATGTGGACTTTGGGAGGGCCAGGGGCCCAGAATGCCAGGGTGGGCATCTGGTGGCACTCATGGAACGGCTGTCCCTCTGCCAGCCACAGGCCCTGCCTCCAGCATCAGGGAGTAGAGGCTGGGCTGTGACAGTGCCGCTGCCCTGTGTTGTTCTAATGCACTGTAGAAATTGTATGTAATGTATTTAAATCAATGCAAATGTACGAATAACAAACCCAATTCTGACCCTTTTTGGCCCGGTTTCTTTGGGGGAAGGAAGACGAAGGTATTATAGAATGCAGTTTTAAGGACAAAGCCCTTAAAAGGAGTTGCTGAGACACGGTTCCTGGGGCTGTTTCTCTCTAGAAGAGGAAGGAAGATACGGGTCCTCATTTCCAAAGTCCCAGTGCTCTGAAAACCAAAAGTGTTTTCATAACTCATTTGACACTAAAACCTGACCTGAACCTACACTGATGTGATGGTACTGGTAACCATTATGTGTCATCCTTAGTGTGAATGTTTGTTGCAGAAATGTTAATCTATTTTATGAGATGGTCCCCTACTAGGGATTATGCAGTATTTTCCCTGACTACTCCCTAAAAGCCAAAAAAATTCTGAATTCCAAAATCATCCAGCTCCAAGGGTTTGGGATAAGAAACGTAGACCCACATTTAGGCAACAGAGGGCAGCCCTGGCGTGCGTGTGTATCACTGCCCTACTTTGAACCCCGCTCCTTTGAGTGATGGGTAATCAGGCAGATGGGGTGGGTGGGGAGGGAGAAGAATGCTGAAGAGCAACCGTAGGCTGCTTTTGGGGTGAAACTTACCTCTAGGGCTTGCAGGCGATGGGAAGCCTAGGATAGTGCAGGTGCCTTATGAATGACTGGTCTAGCTGTTGCCCCACTGCAGTATGGTTGCCCCATAAGGATGAAGAAGCCATCTGAGGAGCTGGCACCCACTGGTGTGACTGCAGATTCAGCCAACCCACAGACCAGTGCCCACTGTGCAGGACTTACCTTTCTTCTCTCCTGTGGATCAGGACGGCTGCAGAGACCCTCTGCCCTCTCCTCCCAATCCGACAGCCCCTAGAAAAGGAGTCTGCGGCACAGAGGCTCCAAGCTTAGTAGCGGGTGAAAAGCAGAGGCCAGCCCTGATTCTCCTTCCTGGGAACACCCCTGCTACCACTCTTGTTTTAGAATCCTCCCATTCTGTGACAGACTCACACAGTTCTTGATGCAAATGTTTTTATTTGCCACTTAAACCATGGTTTCCCTGTGCTGGCCTGACAGTGCGGGGGCATGGGACAGGCTGCGGGACCATGGGTTACAGTAGTAGCAGCAGTGCGGAGATGCTGTGTCTGAGTGCTGTCGCTTGACTCCCAGGGGAACATCATGCAGCCCAGGTATAGTGTTACATTGGGAAGGGCTGAGGCAGGAACAGTTGCCGTTACTTGTTCTGGGGACGAATGGGTCCCACGTAACAGCCCAGTGGAAGCCTCCAGTCCTGTTCTGAACTGAGCAGGCCAGTGGCAGTGGTCTCTTCTTTTCATATACCCATGTAGGGCTGCCTGCCTCAATTCTCTTCCTTCTTCACCTCCCCAGGCACTTTGGCAAAAGTCCCTTTGATTTCTGGGGAAGACACTGCCATTCCCAGCCTTTCCCTCGTTCAGTGTCTAATCTGGTGGAGGTAGTTTGTGGGGCCTGGCTTCCTCCAGTTCCGGCGGATCCTGGCACTTGTCCTCCTAGAGTTCAGATACTGCTCACTGGAGGCTGTCTCCGTGGCACTACTCTGTGGGTCGGCCAGTGGAGAGTGGGGCTCCCGGACTCTGTAGGGAACATGTGTATGATAAGCCAACGTCAATAGGGAGGACAGAACAGAGACTAAGAGATTTTGGTCACAGTGGACTATAAAACACACTGTTCAGGGCAGATGATAGACCAGGGCTCTGGTCTTGTATGACCAGAACTGTATGACTAGGCAAAGCTCTCAGATTTCTCTGCCTTTAGGGTTGGACTAGATCAGGGTGTGCAACACTCAGCATTTCTCCACCTTCAGCCTGTACTCACAGCAGATGTCATTAATTAGTCATGACAGGAAACCGGTCTTTTTAAGCAGTGACTGCTAATCAAGTGGAGCTAATTCGAGCAATGACACTGACTGGCCATCCCAGGACCTGGTGACTTCAGAAGGCCTGTTTGGGTCTGCTGTTCTGGTTGCGGGCCCCAGAGAAGGCAGCAGAGGAATGGAGCTCAGAGCACAACCCACGTAACTGGTTTAGGCCATGATTCAGCTCCCTGTTCCTGCGCGGACAGTGACCTAGGCAGAGTTGGCCGACTAGGGAGATCGGGGAGACATGCTATCTCAGGGTAAAGTTTCTCAACACTTTTTAACCCATGATGCCTCTATTTTTTTTTATTTTTACTTCTTTATTTATTTATTTATTTATTTATTTTTTGAGACAGAGTCTCACTGTGTTGCCCCGGCTAGAGTGCTGTGGCGTCAGCCTAGCTCACAGCAACCTCAAACTCCTTGGCTCAAGCGATCCTCCTGCCTCAGCCTCCCGAGTAGCTGGAACTACAGGCATGCACCACCATTCCCGGCTAATTTTTTCTATATATTTTTAGTTGTCCAATTAATTTCTTTCTACTTTTAGTAGAGATGGGGTCTCGCTCTTGCTCAGGCTGGTTTCGAACTCCTGAGCTCAAACAATCCACCCGCCTC